TACAGAAAAGAGCTCATTTCTGGAAACTTCATGGTGAAGCTGATTATATTTCCTTCAATTTGACCTATAACACTTATACTTTAGGAAGATTTTTATTAATTTTATAGGCCATTCAAAAATTTTAAAATAATGAAAACTTTTTTTCAAATGTGGTTTTTTTAGAATGACTTTTGAACAGCTTTACCGACCGATACCAAAAACTAATCAGCTCTTAACATCAAAAAACTACGTCAGTCGCCGCTGGACCGGTCAAAATCGCTTGACTTGTTTGTGAGATTTCGTTGACGAAACAAATCAAAAAAAGCGTTTTTTTTCAAACAAATTCCGAAATTTTTTATCTGATCTATTCACGGTTTGGAATTTATCATAAAATTCAAAAAACTGCATCGACTGTTGTCAACTACGTGATAATCGGTTAAATCGTTTAAAAGTTATAGCGGATTGAAAATTTGAAAATTACTCAAACATGTTATCGAACAAATTAAATAACATAAATAAAGAAAATCTTATATCACATGAAATCTACCTTCCATTTCGGCTGAGGCCGAATGGCATTTTTTTAAATTCTGATCGATGACTTTCTATAAATGAAAAGAAAATTTCTTAAAATTTGTTGTATAAAAATTTTTTTTTTCTAATTACAGGTAAGTTATAATCAATTCAATTTTTATAATTTTTTATGGAATTTTATTGTAAGATTCTATTGAATTTTATGAAATAATGATAGTTTTAGACGGCGGGATATAAAATTTTACAAACTAGAATAAGAAATTCAGTCAAAGTGCTATTTACCGCAATTTGTTGTGATTCTATAAAATTTGCATAAGTTTTCGTGAAATTTTTTTTAAATTTATAAATTAAATTATAATTTTCTTTCTAATTAAATAGATTAAAGTGTAGTTAATTGTAGCTTTGTATAAACTAAAAATTTTTTTAAAAAGTCTATTTATTTTAATAAATTCTTGAGAATTTATTAAATTCTTAATTCAAAAATCGAGAAAATTTAAGAGAAATTCCAAAAATGGATTATTTTCGAAAAAAATTTAATCATCTTTAAATAAAAAATTAAATTTTTGAATAAAAAATTGAATATTTAAATGAAAAATTAAATTTTTAAATAAAAAATTGAATATTCAAATAAAAAATAAAAAATTCAATTTCTTTTTAAATCTTATAATAATATTAAAATCTCATTAAATATTTAAATAGAAAATTAAAAATTCGATTTTTTTTTAAATCTTATATTAACATTAAAATCCCATTAAAGATTTTAATTTTTTAATTCGTTCAGAAGAAAAAAATCCGATGATAAATAATAAAAATTAGATTGAAAAAAAAAAAATTTCAACACACAGAGTACCAAAAATTACAAAAAAACATACACAGATTTACTGGCCTGAGACCGGTTGACTGCTGGACAACTAGTTCGGTGAAAACGGAGCATGGCCAAAAGACCAAAGCCCCGAAAATGGCCCACCAGTGGAAATTATCCATGATGTTGGACAGACGAGTACATTAGGATGTTGTTCGTAGCACTTGGTGATACTAAATAGCTGTAGCAAAAGTCCTGGGTGACCAGATACCCGGGAAAATGGTGTTTGTATATCGGTTGCCGCGGGGATGACCCTACGGATCCACCACATTACCTCCTGTTTCCTTTACCCGGGCGCATTTTACGTCCGTCAAGCCTATCAGCGATAGTCCTTTCGCTGACGTGTCTATTGTAATTGTTTTTACTTACCCGGTTATTGTTATTGATATATGACTTTGACGCATTATTGAACGACACGTATGCCTCCTCTGTTGCGCGTTCCGCAGGAAAAATGTCAAAGGAGCAGGGGAGCGCGTCAGGGGAGCAAATTGATACTTTTCAAGGTTGTCAAAGCTTTGAGAGATTTTTTAAAATTTCAATAGTGAAATTAAGAAAAGTTTTAGTGTATCGTGTTTCAAATGACGAAAGTACGTATTTCTCAAATTGTATATAATATCCTTTTGGCTTTAGAAATTAAAAAATTTTTTTATATTGAAATTGTACCCGGTCCGAAAATATCCTAGTAAATTTTATTCAATTAAAAATATGTTAAACGAAAAAATTCACTGACTTAAATATCCCACAACGTTACTTTAAGACAAAAATATCCCAAGGTCCCGGTAAAGTTCACGGGCGAAGCCCTGGTAGGGTTCAAGATGGTGATGATGGTAATGAATCAAGTTCGGGTTTTTTTTGTTTAATAATAAACTTTCTTCTTCCCATACAGCTAAACTAAAGAAAATAAGAATGATTAAAAAATAAAAAACACAAAAAGACAATAAGTCTATAAAAAGATCTAAAAATATATTAAAAAAATTTGGAAAATTCAAATGTGAATGCTTTAAGCGCTCATATTTTGTATAAAATTAAGTATTTGTTAATTTATTTTTAATTCCCCGCGTACAGTAATTATTTATTATGAGAATAAAACATCCTTAAGGACGGTCATAGACAAAAAAAAAGACACCAATATGATATATAATGATGATGATGATTACGATGATGATGGTGTTATATATATTAAATTTGGGTGAATGCTAATGGTTCAGGATATAATGTCGCAGATATTTTGGCTTGAGGATATTATGTCACGGCTACAATGGCCTCGGATCTTATGGTATGTTACCAAATTTATTAAAAGTTAATATTGCTACCTATAGCTTTGATGTAAATCGAAAATTTAGTTCCTACTTATGAACTTGAAATGATCTTACGTTGTGAAAAATTTGCGGCCTTGAAAAAGGCCATTTGAATTATATTAAAGTAGAACCATTGGTTCACTCTTCTAAGGACTCCATTTTATCGATGATCAATTTTAAGAGGACGTCTTCGATAATCACAAGTTCCTCGGGTGATAATAGTGATATAATTTTCCCGAGATCGTCCAGCGTAATGTCGTCTTTTGGAGCTTGGCTTTCTTTTTTTGCCAAGTATTTTCGGACAGCAGCTGACGTCATTCTTTATATGTGTTGACGTAGTAAGCGTTGAAGTTAAAGCGTAGAAAATAAATTTGGTCAAGTTTTGAGTCGGGTTATCAACTCGCGCGGACCATGAAGAGAGCTTGTCCGAAAATTCACAATCATTCACGTGTACTTAGTATTTTATCTGCTTGTGATATAACAAAAATTAGTTTATATTAATTCATTTGTTTAGACCGAAGTTTATAAAAAAAATATGTAAATTATTAAATAAACAAACTTTGAATAAGCAAAAAGATTATGATGATCATGACAATAAAGATAATGTGAAAATGGTCCTGATGATCCGGCATTACGTCGAGTAATATTTTTGTCAATAGCATATTTTGTCGTAGAATGGTTCATCTTGGGGATCTTTTTTCGGAGATTTTTGGTTGTGATTATAAAAATCCACGGAATCATGAGCCGTAGTCTCCCAAAATCTTCAAAAAAATTTTACCAAGCAGTTAAATATGTATGGTAAAATGTATAGCTACGCAGCATGTGCAATTTTTGTAATCTTGTGTGATGAACATACTGCGTTATTACATTTTTTCTTAAACTCTTTTTTGCAAAGACATAAACTATAATTTTTATATGAAATTTTAGCGCCAAACTATACCTCCCAATTTTCAAAGCGGTACCTAGAACTTGAACAAGCTGGGGCCGTATAGTTTTAACAGTACTCCAACCTCTAATAGGTTTATAGACTAGTGATCAGAATTGTGATTTGTACTAATTACTGCAAATTAAATAAGTTTTATAGCTAAAAATTAGTGTAGTTAAAAATGACGGAACGTTTTGAATTGAGTTTTTTAAATTTATAATTGAAAATTTACTTTATCATTCATGAAAAATGTAATTAAAAAATTAAATACAAATTAAATACTCTAGTGTTTAGAATTTCACATTCTCATGTGTTGATTTAATACACTAAAATGTGGAATTAATATTAGTTTGTGTAAAAACAGTTAGTAACACAAATATTTGTGTTAAATTCGACGAAATGTTTTTTACTGCGTGCCTATTGAATTCAATTCAATTCAATCCAACTTCGGCATAAAAGGGTAAACTTTTAGACAATGGTTTAAATTTCATAAAATTTGAAAGAAATAATTTTTTAAGATGTAAGCTTTTTGGCCTTATATTACAGAAAGGTTCTTATTCATTACGAATTAGTTAATTTAGTTATGGCAAAAAAATGAAAAAAATTTTTTTTTGTTATAGACGATCTTAGTTATTGAAGTAAAAGCTTTTTTAAAAATAATTAAATATTTCCCAGTAATTAATCATTTTTTATTGAGTTTCTTATTTCCAGAAAATCAAATCGTCCAAAAATTTTTAAGATTAAATATGTTTTGTAATTTGTAATGTATAATTTGTCATTTGGCTTCTGCTTTGGCATAATAAATTTTATTAAACAGCAAAGAAAAACATTTTTGATTTTCATCGATTATTTTTTTTAACTTTAATTGTTTATTTGATTCGTTATAAGTTATAAACAATATTATCAAACAATAAATCGCACCGAAATCAATAATCAATAACTTCCTATTTTTTTAAGTTATTAATTTTCGAAACGAGAAGTTAAAAAAAATATAACAATTTAGTAGCAGCTGCTGAGAATTATAAATTTCAATTATAAAAAAAAACTTTTGCTTGATGATTTTCCGATATTTTTAATCAAAAATACACATAGCAGTGTTTTTCTACAACTATTTTCTATGAATATTTTGTTTGAAATGACAAGAAAAAAAATCCTTGAAATCTTGATCGCAATATTAACATTTAATATAGTTTTCAAGATCGTGGAAAGATTTCCTGTTTAAAATACACGTAATCTTTGATTTTTTTTAGTGTTTTTTTGAGTGTATGTATAACCCAGCAGCTCTTATGCTATCATATTGTACGAAAGTGCAATTTACTCAGGATTAAATGTTCTACAAAAGTACCCATTACGACGTAACTGTAATCCACACGTGTAAAATTGCACGGGTCACTAAACCTGAATTTTATATAAAAATTTTTATTTTTTCTACGGTATTTCAGAAACGACTGTATTTACAGAAAAAAGTTAATAACAAACTTGTAGAACATTTAATTTTCTACAAAAAAAGGTCCTTTCAACCAAGATGCTAATATTGATATTTCTCTAGGATATAAAACGTTGACCTTTCATGAGATGAAATTTTTTTTTGAATTATTTATTTATTTATTCAAAGCTTATTGAAAGGAATTTTTAAAAACAATATTTTTGCAAGATACATTGTACCCGGTAAAGGGAATAAGAGATAGTTTGTGAGAAAGGCAGCACTAGCGAGTAAAAAAGAAAGAAAAAGAAATAGCACAAACTATCTGTCTTGAATGAACTACCTTAAACAGAAAATACACAATTTATTTTTTATTACTCATGCGGGAAAAGTAGTATCTTAACGCTCACTGTTGCGGTTGAAAAATAGTTGTTTGCCGATTTTAAAATTACACGTGAGTTTTTTCGTAAATAAAACTGTTATTTGAGTGCGTCAAGTCGCACACAAATTGTCTGTGAAAACTGCTAAAATTAAAGTAAATAACAAAAAAAAAAAAAAACACAATCTACCTGTCGATATTAAAGAAGTGAGGTTGACATTACAAAGTTCATATTTTTAATTAAAGTAAAAATAATCAATTAATATTGAGCTGTTTAATCTTAATGAAAATTAATTTAGTAGATATTCGATAATTTTAATAATTTTTGTAAGAAATAAATTATAGCAAAAAAAAAATTTTTTAAGAATTGACCTGTAGAAATTTTAAAAAATAAAAAATGCAATTTTTTATAAATAATTTTTGGGAACAAATTTGTTCGTTAAAGAAAATTAAAAAATTGTAGTGACAACTAAATTTAATGTCATTTAATTTTATGTGTTGATTGTTTCAAATAAATTAATTTTTAAAAAAATAGTGTGTGCAACCCGCATGCGATGTTGTCGCACTAGTTGCACAATATACTATTATTCTTCTATTTATTCAGAATCATATTTTACAGTAACCTAGTTCACGAGTGCAAAATAAAATTAATTTACAAATTACATCTAACGCAAAATTAATAAATAAATCTAGCTAATAAATAAAATTATAAATCCCTTTATGAAGTGTGTATATTTCTATGTAGCAGTTAAAAATATGAAATTGAAAATTTTATGAGATTATGTTGACGCCTAATAGGAGAATAGAGACACTATACCTATTTTCACGCCTCCACGCTTATTCACATATTATATATATTGAACATTTACTTGGCGGAAGACACTACCAGTGTCTCTGGATTAATGAATTATCTTCCTTTTACTTCGTTGGATGGTTAGTCTAGTCTCATTTGTTATATTATTTGTCAAGGATTGTAAAACATAATAAACTAATTCTAAATTCTAATGTGAGATCATGATAGAAAATTTCTCTTCAAATATTTCATGCATTATTTTAAATCTTAAGGGATCATTCTGGTTTGTAATCTGGTTTTTGAACAAAATTAGTTCTAAATAGTTTTTAATTTATTATTGAACTAGCTGTTACCCCCCCCCCCTCGCTCCACTAAGGCTTTTACCTTACTATAATAAAGAAATCTTAAAAAATTTGAAGAAATATATATTAATAATTTATGTCTTTTTATTTTTGTTTTTTATAGTTCTTTAAAATTTTAACTGATTAAATATGTCATGATCTATTAATATTTTAAGTCTTATCAAATTTTGAAAGGTGATTCTTCGATTGTTAATCCTACCATGAAATTTATAAGTTTATGTTTTAGATAATAATTTGAATATTATTCGCAGGATGAAGAAGCTAAGACGAAATCATCGGTCGAAATAAATAAAAGACGACCTTTTGCAAATATTCAAAATGGATTACCAGCATGTAACGATAAAACTCCGAATCGAGATTCTTCGGATCTTTTTAATAAATTTGATCCTTCAAAAGGCATGGAAAATACATTAATCCGACGCAAGAAAATGCAAGGAATAAAGGGAATAGGCTGGAAGAGACGAGTAGAGCAAACCATGATAAGCTTAGAAGAACAAATTAAAGACATGAAAAAAAGTAAAAACGATGAAGAATTTGTTGAAAATACTTCTAACTTGAAAGAATCTATCGTAATTGAAAACGGAGAACAGGTAAGAATTGCCTGAGTGGTTTGGTTCGTTATGATTATATGTATGAAATGTTATTAAATTATAAACACTAAAAAACTAATTTTTTTTTATTCATGTAGATAACAAAAATTGAAGACGTGGTATTCACAAGTACCTAGTTAACAAATGTATTGCGCCAAAAAACTATGAGAAAACGACTTTGCGCCTTGGTGCCAATCGTTTGGTCTCGGGCAATGATAAAGAAAAGTTATCTTGATCTACCAACGGATACTGACGATTATCATTTAATAACTGATTCTGATAAATTCAAATTTGATCGTAAGTATTCCTTTTAAATTTTTATTTCTTCTATAAATATTAGTTTGTACTAATGTTATTTAACAAAAGACACTTTCTCTTCTCGCTTGTCAAAACAGATTGTCAAAACAGAGCGATAAAAATTTTTTAAATAAGATAAGTGACTGTTCTCATCCTATTTGTATTTTTTGTTTTAATTTTAGAATTATGTCTGTATCTCCAACATCGCAGAAAAATTTCATATCATAGAGGAGGAGCTGATGATCAGGAATTAAATTCCAAAACCTGGTTGGCTCGAAGATGCACCGAATTACGATCTGAATGGAAAAGGAAATTACAAAACACGGCTAAACCTAACTCAAGAAGTTAAATATCTTATCTCAAAAGACGTTCAAACAATTTTAATAATTTATTGTTATAAAGAAGGAAGTTTAATTATTATTATTATTATTATTATTTTTATTAATGTTATGACAATTATATTTAAACAAATTAATGTTGAATCTCAATATTAGCCCAAAATCTCGTCCAAAATAATTAAGATCTTAGTCCAAAATGATTAAGAAATCATAGTAATAATACAGTCAACTCACAGCGATATTATTGTGATTTCACAAAAATTCTATATATAGTAAAACTGATGTGAAATCACTATAAAATCACGGTATTATTACAGAAAAAGCATGACTGAAACACTGCAGATCCAGGATAAACTGATGGTGAAATCACTGTAAACACACAGTAATATCATTGTTAACTCACAGCAATACTACTGTAAATTAACCGCAATGTTACTGTGACCCTACTATAAATCGATGGTGAAATCATCATAAAATCACTGTTGGATGATAATAAAATTACAGTGAGCAAATGGCACAAAATCACAGTGATTTCACTGTCAATTTACCATGAGTTCACTATCTTTCCACTATGATCCCACCGAAATTTTACCATGATTTACCAGTAATTCCGAAACCACGAGGGAGATTATTATTAATAAATAATGTAGCTGTTAACCCTTCGTAGGTCGCATAATAAGCGCGGCGCCGCCTTTTTTGCATTTTTTTTTCTTCGAAATTGAGTACTTTGATAATTTTGAAAAAAATTAAGTGCATTCTTTTAACCTTTCTAAAAATTGTGACGTTATTAAAAAGCATAAAAATATATACGAAATAATTTAAAAAAGCAATTTTCGGAACCGGGCGGCGCTTTGCCGCCCGGTGCGAGTGAGCCTCCGGGGGATTTTCTAACTGCACTGTTGCCGAATGTCGTTACCGCCACTATTTCAATGTTTTAGCGCTTGTGAGGTACAAAAATAAAGTAATGTTTGAGATTAGTTTTTACTGTTTACATTATAACTTGTGATTTGTTTAAAATAATGTAATAATTACACTCATATTGAATATTATTATTTATATAAAAATAGTAATAATAATACAAGTAGCAAATAAATTATTTTATAATACACCATACTAAAATTAACAGATGTCTGGCTTTACATATTACTAATTATTTAAATAAAAAAAAAAAAAAAAAAACAAAAAAATTTCAGGTGAACGAATTAAAAAAAATAAAAAATAACAATGGATGCCAATTTTTCAAATTATTTTTTTTTGATTGAATTTAATTATAATTATGATAATTAATTTAGCGGATATTTGATAATTTTAAGAATTTTTGTAACAAATAAATTATGACAAAAAAAAATTGACATTTAGAAGTTTTTAAAAATTAAAGATGTAATTTTTTAAAAATAATTTTTTTGAAGAAATTTGTTTGTTAAAAAAAATTAAAAAATTGTCAAGTGACAGCTAGATTTAATTAATGTCATATTATAATTTTATAATCTGGTCTTAGATGTTAAATTTAATTGTCACATGTGATAAAAATAAAAAAAAATTTTTGTTATTCAATTAAATTTATGATAAAATATAAAAGTAAAATTATATTTAATCATAAAACATTGAAAAAATACTTTGTCTCACAAGGAAATAGTATTAGTTTACATTTGGCAACGGCGCGTACGTTTTAACACGGCGGCGGAGCGTTCACCATGCGACCGACTTAGTTCGGAAAAGACACGCTACCTACGAAGGGTTAATGAAATCTACTTTTCCGTTTCGACTACCGAATGGCCTTTTTTTTAATCCCATGGGATGCATGCACTAAATCAAAAATCTAAAAATTCTTGAGAATAACAAAATAAAAAATTTTTCACTAATTATCTACTTATTAGCAATTACTTCTGGTTCGTATACATTTCAAGAAAATAACAAAATTACACATTCTTTCAAAATAATTTATTAATACATCAACTTTTTACAATACATCACACAAAAATACATAATTTTTAATATTTATTATATTTCATCCTTTATTCAGTATATCAATTGAAATCTACAACCTAATCCAAGCAATACGTTATATCTTATTCTTCAGCGTCTTCATCATCCATCATAATTATCATTACAATATAAATTTCAATTAATCAATTATTAACAATTCCCTCGCTCGTTTCACTCTCACAAAAATCTCAATATTATAAATTAAAACAATGAATTGTTTATTGAAATTTTCTGCCAATAAAACAGTAATTTTTAATGAAGAATAATAACAAACCCATTAATTATTTTTATAATAATAAACATTTTTAATAAATTCACAAAGTTTCTGCTTTATTATAAATAATTATAATTATCATCGGATAATCCGTGCTATGGATTAGTCACGCCTGAAGAAATTTATTTATTCAAATATTTAGTATTCAACTATTCATGTTTATTATGAATAATAATTTATGTTATAAAACTAGATTTAATGTCGGAAAAGGATCAGCTGGAAAACACAGTATTGTGATTATTTATTTGCAAATTAAATCTCTGTTAAATCTATCATAAAAGAGAATAACAAATTAATATTAACTACTATTAAATTATGATATTAATACAGTAAAAAACTTCCCTAGTAAAAATGAAATCAAGTTTTTGGCTATAGTATAGTAACTGGCCAGTTTAACTAGATTCCTTTGTATTAGAAACTAAGAATACTCAAAGATTCTAATTGTAAATTCGTAGACTAAAATATGTTTAGTATCGATTAATTTATATAGTTTAATTTTCAATTTTCTCCAATTCTGATAAGTAAATTTTTTTAAAATTAAATATTCTCTTCTTTTTACTGTAAAACTGAATAAATTTTATCAACTCTCAATAACCCTTTGGGAAAGTCCCAAATTGGAGGGGAAATTTGACTTTTTAAGAGATTTTTTAGAGAATTATTTCCACAAGGAGTCCTACAAGAAATTTTAATAACTCTGAATAACTCTTCTGGCACACGGAAAGAAATTTGAAGGAATTTTTACTATTTTAATATCGTAATTTTTATTAAATAAATTAGTAACGGTGGACTATACTTCTCATTTAGTAATTTTTACGATCTACTATTGTAAATTTTATCCAACAAACAAGACAAGTGAGAGACTTGGAAAGTCGAATACTATATATAGAGCAAATTATACAATATATGTTTGTGAACTTCACAATTCAACTATTGTAAAAATTGATAGTCGGTTTTGTTGAAAGAAATTTTAGGGAGGGGGAAGGTAGGGGATTGGACTCATTGGTAACTTTGCAGTAACCGAAAATACAAATCGAAATTTTCGTCCGGGAATCGAACCCAGAACTCTTAGTTGGTAGCCAGAGACTCTTCCTCTACGCTATCCGAAGTAGAATACTATCGATGTCCTCCAACATTTACATAAACTTGGAGTATACGAGCATCACTCACACTAATTGAAAACATTCCAATTCTACTATTGGAAAATTTGTTATACTTCTATTGGAAAGATACAGAGGCAGCACTAGAAATTTTTATCTCTTACTTTTTGCAATAGTAATATCGTATTTTTTATAATCGTGAATTGTAAAATTTCATGAGTAAATAGTAAATGTTCTTCTAAAATATTCTAAGACAATTAATAGTTGTGAAGTATAGTCCAGCTTTACAATAGTTGTATTGTAAATTTTCCTAGAAATTTTTTTCCGTGCAGAGTCCCAAATCTTGCATAAAATCTAACTTTCTGAGTCGAATGAAGAATTTTTCTGACTTAATAAGACTTTTTCGGACTTTTTAAGAAAATCAAAAACTTTATGAACTATTATTCGTCCTTATTAAAATTTTTTCACAGTTATTTCAGAGTTATTTTTCCACAAGAGCTTGCCAGTTACTAGTTGAAATTGAGTGAAAACTTGATTATTTCTACTACACGGAAAGAACAAGATGACACTGGACATCATCCCAGATTATACTGAGCGAAAAAAAATTTCAGATAGCAGCTAGTATAATCCAGATTACTCTGAGTGTAATCCAGATATCACTCAGTATAATCCAGATATTACACAGTATAATCCAGATATCAGAAAGTGTAATCTGGATTTTTTTAGCTACTATCTAAAAAAATTTTTTGACACAGATATCACTGAGTATAATCTGGGATGATATCTAGTGTCATCTTGTTTTTTCCGTGTAGGGTTACTCTCTAAAATTTATTAAAATATCGACGGATTATTTTTTAATAATTTATGAAATTTAAATAAGGTAAAAGTCCCAATTATTGATACTATAAGAGACAAAGTTATGATTTCATTCTTTTTAAGCAATCAAATATCAATGTCATTGAATTTTGTTTGTGTGGTAATGTCGCTCTACACGGAAAAAAGAAAACAGGAATAATTACAGTATAAAATGTAAAATTGGTCTCGTCGTAATCAAAACTATAAAAATTACAGTTTGAAATAACATTTTTCTAAATTCAATTTTTTAATTTAATTTTCAGAGCTTTTAATGTAAGTATTACATTCTACAATGTAATTCTTATAAAATTTGTAATAATTACAATCTGAAGCTGTAATTTTTCCAGTTTTCATCACGAAGCGCCACGTTGCAATATATACTGTAATTTTTCGAGTTTTCTTTCTTCCGTGTAATAATGTTTTTACTAATCAATTTCTTTTTTTAAATTGATAATCAGTGATATTTACTAATTAATTTTAAATAATTAAAAAGAGTATCCAGATATACCAATTATTGGCAGGTTAAAAAATTGATTAATCTAATTATTGACATACCTTAGTTCCAATTATTGACATCTATACTGTGTATGCGTCGAATTATCTACTGATTCTTATTCATCGAAACTTATTATTAAGTAATCAATATTATTGAAATTTACTAATAATAATTTCCATAAATGATTAATTACTATTAAAAATATAGAAATTAATTTATTGAATCAGAAGAGTTCAAACTCTTACAGTAAATTTTTTAGGTTAAAGTTAAAAAAGGCGTCATAGCGCTATCGACTGGATGTCG